TCCTCTGTTTTTGTTTTTGTTTTGATCAATAACAAGAACTGAAGAGGAATAAAATAGAATAAACCGAAGTCAGCTAAATATTCTAGCGTAAGGTCCTGTATCATTTATTCTATGCTAAATGCCTGTCAATATATGCTAACTATTAAAAGAAATCGAAACAAAAAAGGGGCTTATTAAACCGACTCTATGCTGCATATATTTATTTAGGCAAAAGCAGAAATCGAGTTAGCATTCGTGAAAATGAATACTAACATATTTTCCTTGTTATCGTTACAGGTCGGCTTAGAGTTAAATGAATTATTCTGGCTTAGACCAGGTTTTTTTGTTGAATTGCTTAATTGTAGATCGTCCCAAGTCGGTGTTCGGTATTGCATTTCTGGCATATTCTGCCGAGAATCCTAAATTGTAATTGTTTTAGATTTTTCGCTTGAGTGATTCTGACGACAATGATAAACAACAACTGCTCTGGACAGGTTTTTGCAGTATTGTTCAATTTAACACATTAACCTGTCATGCTTTGCAAAAAACATCCGAATCTGAACGACTTCTGTACACCAGAGTATATTTGGCATTAATTTATTTGATCAAACTGCGCACTTTTTATCAGTTCATCAAGATTTCGTTTCATTTTTAACCATAGTTACGCGTATAATGAAGAAAGTTAAAACGATACCGTATCTACTCTACATATTCTACATCGTGGTAGTACCGGTACCGAATTGGATCTTGATCGCAGGAAACCCTCCGTATTTAAGTAGGCTTCAATTTCAGTAAGCCTGTTGAGCAAATATTTCAAGGCCCAATAAACCCCGTCTTCTGACCAGTGCTTTATCAATAAACATCGAATCACCGCTACGTCCATATAGGTAGCTTTTGTGGGATCATTTGTATACTGAAAGCAGCAATTTTTAAAGCCCTTACAAAAAAAAAATAAATAAAAGAAAAATATAGGTTCTTCTTTTTCAAAATCACTTAAATAATCGGCGTAACAAATATTACAAAAGATATGAGTCTGAACTATAATAGGAATAAAGATCTTTCCTTCTACTGCTGGCAAAATCAAGCAACTCAGTTTTTTACCTAGCGATAAAATCTAAAAAAATTGCCAAACTACAGATGCTGTACCTGTTGCGTTGCTTCACTGCCCATTGAAATGTCTTCTGATCTCTCCTTTTCCTTACCTCTGCTTTCTGAAAGCAATGATATCTTCTGCGTCTTTAAATTACGCCTCAAATTTCATTTGGCCACAAAGAACTGTATTGTCAACAGGACCGTTTCTTAAAAAACATTCTAAAACCTTTCACAAACCCACCTCTTTCACCCTCGCTAAACCGAACAGTTTCACTCTCGGGCAGCGACGATGATTTTTCAGACGACGTTGCGACAATTTTGAAACGAGGTTCTTTTGGTGAAGTCTTCTGGTCACAATTGCAAAGTCCTACTACCGCACCTTCCCGAAACACCACGGTGTTACACAGCTCGCACACCACCTATCATTGAACAAATAAGAACGCTAATGAGAGTTAGATTCTAAACAAAACTTATTGATTCAGACGCTTAAAGAAGATATGGCGAAATGGCATTATCATATTAAATGAATTTAATATGTTAATCTGTTTGCAACCTCGCAGCCATTGGATTGATAAAGATTCTCCAAGTCCGACACGTTTGAGCTTACTTCGTTCAATTGCGCTAAAGGTGCTTTATCAGATACATCATATGTGGTGTCGCTGCTTAATGAATTGTTTTCTACAAACTTTAAAGCTTCGTCTATTTCCTCCATTCCTTTATATATGCCTATAATAAGCTTTGCTCCGGAGGAAAATTCAATTTTATCTGTAAAATCAAGGCTTTACACAATTCTAGAGCAAATTATTTTTGGACAGTTGCTGTTCAAAATTCCTACAGTTACAAAAAATTGCTAGCATTTTGTCGACTTACTTGGTGAAATGTCAAAACTGTTAGTAGTAATACTTTTTCGGATTTGCTCCGATAAATTTGAAGATAACTCTTTGACCCGATACTCGCTAACACTTCGTATTACTTGCGAAAGATTTTGTGACTCATCCTACAATATCAGTGCGTGTAACTACGATTACATACAAAAAAAAAATTTTTAAGTAAAGTTTTAGCAGCGAGCCTTCGTCGTAATACCTGTAATTCAGAATCTTTCGGCGGTCGATCAACAAAGTTTTCGGAGCTAAAGTTAAGTTGAAGCGAACCGTTGTTTCCCACTGATGGTTTCGCTGTAATGCTTTCCTGTTTTGAAAGGCTACTCTCCTGTTTTGTTAAGTTTATCCTCTTCTCTTTCTCTTTTTGCAGACTAGACAATACTGCCAAGTCTGTTCTTGGCGGTTTTGGAGGCGGTATAATGCCAGGAGGTTCAGAGGTTTTCATTGAGTACTTTGGTCGTTTTACCGGCGTTTCGTCGTCGTCGCCTTTAATCAAAATTTGTCAACACAAACTGGTTGATTAGTCTTGTGTCTCATTATATAAGTAGAGCTAACAAATTACCAAGGTAGACACCCTGGGCTGTCGATGAATGAGTCGCTGGCTTTTTGACCAGGGAAACATAGGGCAGTTTTGCACGTCGCTGTTTCACCGGCGCACAAAAACAAAGGACATCAGGCGCACGATACTGGAACCAAAATATGCAGCTAGACAAGTCCAGTAAAAATAGGATTTTGTATAGGGTTTTGGTATAGGACATGAATGTTGAGGAAAAAACAAATTTATGATGCTCCTTTTCTCTTTTCTCTTTTCTCTTTTTTTTTTTTTTTTTTTTTTTTTTTTTTT